CCCCGCCCCAAGTGGCCCCGCCCCGCGGCCCCGCCCCGCCCCGCCGCGCACACGGAGCCGGCAGCCGGTGCGAGAGCAGCTTTAGTGAGCGCGGGCCGCGCGCCCGCCCCGTTAAGGCACCCGGTGATGGAGCCGCAGCGCCGGCCTCCGCGGGGAGGCACGGAGGTCCCGCACAGTCCTGGTCTTGGTCCCAGTCCTGGTCGCGGTTGGGGTCCCGGTCCTGGTCGTGGTAGCGATCTGAGTTCCCGGTCATGGTCCTGGTTCCAGTCCTGGTCTCAGTCCCAGTCCCGGCCTGGAGGTGAGCGTGGCCGTGGCCCCGCCGTGCGGTGCGAGGCAGTCGGTGCTGTGGGGGCCGCAGCCCTGAGCAGCGTGCGCAGAGCGGTGCGGGCGGCCTCACTCCAGGCCRGGGTTGGGCTTGATGAGGCCGTAGGCCACGGCCTGCGCCAGGCTCTCCTTGGCCGCCTGCGCCACGCGCGGCTTGTCCTGCTCCTTGGCGAGCACAGAGAGGATCTCGAGCATCTCGCTGGCCATGAGCTGCTCCGCCACCTCCCGCGCCGCCGCCATCATGTTCATGACGACAACAGCGCCGCGGTGCTGCAGCTCCGCGCTGGGGCTCAGCAGCAGCGCCTGCAGGATCTCCAGCCAGTGCGAGGTCTGTGGGGAGCGAGGCCGCCTGAGTGGACCGGGCCGGGCCAGGCCGCCCCACGCAGCCCCGGCCCCGCACTCACCACCTGCGGGATCCTCTTGCAGATGGGGGGGTGCAGCGCCGTGAGCATGGCCAGGGTCCCCGAGGCCGCTCGCCGCAGCTTCTCGTCCTCCTCGCCACTGTAGAGCACCATCAGCTTCAGGCGGTCACTGCCCTCGGCCAGGAACAGCTCCTGCACCTGCGGCGAGGAGGGGGTTCAGGGGGGGCCCGAACCCGGCCCCGGTGCGCGCGCCCGGGCACCCTCACCTCCCTGCTCATGGCCATGTTGCACATGCACTCGGTCGCGGCCAGCCGGATCAGCTCGTGCTCCTCAAACATGTAGCCCTCAATCATGGGCACAGCCTTCTCCTTCAGGATTTTCTGCCTGCAGGAGCCGTCCCAGCCCAGGGTTGCCCCAGCACCACTGCTGGCCAGGGCAGCCCCCCAGGCCAGAGGGGTCGGTGGCTCCTTGCCCAGCCCCACGCTGCAGCTGCCCCTGCCCCTACCGCAGCCGCTCGCTGATGCCAGCCAGGTTGGTTAGGGCCATCAGACCCTCGAAGTTCTCCAGGCCGGTGCGCTGAAGGTGCAGGAGGCTGACGAGGGGCCGGACCACCTCGTAGATCTGTGGAGAGAGCAGCGCAAGGTTTGCACCCCGGACAGGGCGGCAGCGACTTCGTGCACACCCGCAAGGCTGGGGATCCTGCCCAGCACGGGGCACCTTAGTGCAGCACGGGGCACCTTAGTGCAGCACGGGGCACCTTAGTGCAGCACGGGGCACCTTAGTGCAGCACGGGGCACCTTAGTGCAGCACGGGGCTCTCGCAGGAACCGGGAGCACTGAGGTCTCCCATCCGCCCCCAGAAAGGCCAAGCTCAGCTGGAAGCTCAGCCAGTGCTGAACAGCCCCGTGATTGCCAAGCTGCTTCCAGAGGGGCGAGGAGGAGCTGTTCGGCCCCGTATCCTGTGCACAGAGGCCGTGCAGCCCYGATGGGAGCACGGCTCCGACTGCTGCCCTCCCAGTGCAGACCCCCACGCGCTCCAGCAGCTCCCCAGCAGCAGCTCCTGCACACGAGGGCGGTGAGCCCCCACACYGGCCCTTTCCCAGCTGCTGTCCCCATTGCACCCCTGCGCTCTGCCCTGGCCCCACAGGCAGCCCCCGGTGCGGGGCTGGCCCTGCGCTCACCCGCTCGCCCGGAAAGGCCATCTCGGGGTTGGAGGTGATGGTGATCTTCGCCAGCGCCTGAGCAGCCTTGGTCTGCCCCACTTCTGTGCCCTCCAGGGACAGCGGGATGAGAGCCTGCAGCCAGAGGGGCACAGCCAGGTCACTCGCCCGGCTCTCGGGTTCGAGGCAGCCCAAACGGGGCCACGGCCACCGGGGCAGCAACTCCAGCCCTTGTGCCCGGCCCGGGCAGCTCACCTTGCCTCCRCCCTGTGCCACCACGCCGCCTCGCTCCTCCGCCTCCTGCACCAGCGCCAGGAACACTCTGCCGCAGCACGGGAGCAGATGGAGTCAGGGAGCTGCCGTGACGGCGGCTGGGGGCCCAAAGCCACCTGCACACGGCCGCAGGCCCCGATGCTTTGCGATACACCAAAGYCACGTCCAGAAAGGATTCCCCACACAGCCACAGCATGCATGTGAGACACCATTCTCGGAGCCCAGGCGTGAGTGCACAGGTGCCCTGCGCGGCCGTACCTGGAGATCAGCTCCCGGCAGGAGTTGGTCAGCGCCGGGTTCTCGCTCTTCACCATGCAGGCGAGGGCGGACACTACACCCGCTGCCAGCAGCTTCCGCACCCGCCGCTTCACGAAGTCCGGCTTGTCCTGCCCAGACACAGSGTCACCACTCGCTCGCGCTGTCCCTACGTGGGACACCAGGCTCTGTCCCAACCACGCAGTCTCCTCCGAGGCCTCGGCTCCCCAGCACCTCYGAGACCTGCCCGTGCCGCCTCACCTTGGGGTGCTGCTCGGGGATGTGCTGCTTGGCGTACTTGGCCAGCTCCAGCATCTGGGGGTCTGGCTCCTCGTGGTCATAGCTGTTGGTGCAGTTCACTAGTGTGGAGGCCACCGCATAGAGCACACTCCTGTCCTCCGACTGCAGGGACGACGGGGCACTCGTCACATCCACGGCACCCGGAGGACAAGCACCAGCTTGCRCCTGCTCAGCACCGCGGGGCACCAGCCCTGCCACGCAGCCCCACAGCGTGACCCCCCAGCCCTCCTGGCAGCAGCAGCACGGCCCCTGCACAGCCCTGCCACGCTCACCTTGGCCAGCTGGAACATGGCCTGCATGGCTGCCTTGTCCTCCACAAACTCCTCCTTGACGTCTGCATCGAAAGTGAGGTAGGCCAGGCCCTCCACAGCCCAGCGGCGCGTGCCCGCGTCGATGCTCTCGTTGCACAGCCACCTGGGGAGCGTGGCAGTGAGCTGGCGCTGCGCGGTGCCCCCTCACCCAGACCCCGCAGCACTCACTTGCGGCACTGCTTGGCCAGCTTCATGGTGGAGCCCTCGGCAAACTGCTTCATGCTGAAGTCGGTGCCTCCAGCAGATCCCAGCTTGCAGAGACCCTGCAGACAGGAGCGGGAACAGCCACAGTCACCAGTGCCTGTGACAGCCCCACAGCTAGCGAACAGACCGCRCTGGGGACCTGCAGGCCTTGCAGTCACAGCCTGAGCCAGCATCCTCCCAACTGCTCTGCATGCTGCTGCACTCACCACGAGCGCCCGGATGCGGATGCTGTCCCTCTCGCTGTGCTTGTAGATCTCCTTGAGCAGACTCACGCCGTTGGCCGTGATGAAGGAGGCGCGCTTGGCCTTGTCGGCGGCGTGGATCAGCGCCTCCACCGCCACCAGCTGGTGGGCCTCGTGCACAGAGGCGCACAGGGACAGCACGCTGTCCATGATCCCCTCCAGCTCCAGCACCCTGTTCCCAGCCTCCGAGGGGCCCTGCAGCAGGCACGACACCGCCTGGATGGCCCGCAGCTTCCCAGCCAGCTCGTGCCCCTCGAACCAGCTCCTGCAGGGGAAGGACACCAGAAGAGATGGGACTGACGCTGTCGGCAGCCTCCGGCTGCAGGCAGCCCTGCCCAGCTGGATCCCAGCTCAGCAGGGTCCCGGGGCTCTGCCAACCCGCTCTTGCTGCTGAGTGCAAGGGGGGCTGGGGACAGAGATGCTGCTGCTTCCTGCAGCAGCAGCGTGTGCCACACACAGCCGGGGTGCTCAGAGCCCTCAGAGCCTCTGCTGGCTTCAGAAAATCCCTCCCAACCCGGGGAGGCCCTGGCTCACTTCACGTAGTCCTCGCACAGGTGGTGGAAGTTCTCCCTCTCGGCGTCGCACTTCAGGTCGCTGTAGAGCTTGCTCAGCAGGACCGAGGCGCTCATCCGGCTGTTCTCCGTCAYGGGCAGGCTGTCCTGAGCCCCGCAAATGGTGCTTCCCACCTCCAAGATCTTCTTCAGGCCTAGGAGGACCCGCAGGTCAGGCCACAGGGAAGGAGTCAAAGGGGGTGCCCAAGATTCTGCCACCCGCAGAACCGAAGCACCCGTCACCCCTAAAGCAAGGGACCCCAGTGGGACACTGCAGGCTCAGCCTGTGCGTCACTCACCCTGGTCGATCACCCAGAGGCTCAGGCTGTTGTTGGTCTCCTTTGGCGACTTCCTGGGCACCACCTTGATGAGCAAGTTGAGGGCGTTATCCCGTCCGTGCGCAGAGGCCCCTTCCAGGGTCAGCAGCTCCAGGAGGTCCTTGATCAGCAGTTTCAGATCCTTGGAGGAATCTTCCAAGAGACAGTGCCGGCAGTGAGCGCCCCGACCGGCTCCTCCTGCCCTCCTGGCATGRCTGCCACAGTCAGGGCATCCCAGGTTCCAGCTCAGGGCCATGTTAACCTTAGCCCTAAGCCCCTGGCTCAGCGCTGGGGAGCAGGCAGAGAGAGAAGGACCCACAGCCTCCCCACAGCCGCTGAGGGCAGGCAGACACTCACCCAGCACCACTGCGTCCTCCTTTCCTCGGAAGTCCTTCTGCATCCCTTCCTTCAGGGAATCGAACATCACCTGCAGCAGGTTGCAGGCGGCCAGCGAGACCTGCTCGTGCTCCACGCCCAGCACTGCCGAGAGCCGAGGGGCGCCCAGTTCTGCCAGGATGGCTGTGGTCTGCAAGTGCAAACGGAGCTGTCTGACGGAGACTCGCGGACGCCTTGGCCCTCCCTGGCACATCTCCTTGGGATGGTTCCCCCATCACAAGGCTCCCATGAGTCAGGCTTGGAGGGGTGAGAGCCGAGAGCTCCACTGCCCATCGGGCTGCAGGGAGCCCCAGGCTGTGGCCAGCCACGCTGCCCTGCCCAACACCTCACAGAAACCCGGGCACCCGTCCCCCTGCACCAGGCCCAGCAGAACGTGAGCCGCGACCTACCCGGGAGCGGTGCCCCGAGCACAACCCCACCAGCGTGCGCAGGGCCGCCAGCATCATGTCTGCTTTGGCTGTGTCAAGGAGCTGTGTCAGCAGCCGCACGCCATCACTCTGGAAGATTTTCTCTGCTCCGGCCTCCTCCCGTGCCAGCACAATGAGGTTCTGCGCAGCCT